GTAATCTTACGTGACTTAGAGTGGTTAAATTATAACTTATTTTTGTTTCATTTTGGCAATTACTCTCCAAGCCCTATATTTGGGGTACATATGGTAGTTCCTTAGTTTGTCTGATAAAGATACGATGCCGGAAATGTTTGACTTATAAATCGTTACCACAGTAAAATAATATATCTTTTTTTTCAACCCGTATAACATTTTTTTATTTAAAATACTTCCTTTATTATTATTGTATCCTGAGCCCTCGTTCGACATTTTACCCTATCTCCGAAATGTTGTTGTTCGCCAAGGGTGTCAGTATACTGAAAAGTGTGAAGTCTAAGTAAATTTCTCTATGAAAATAAAATTATATTCTACATTTTTTCGAAATGTCTGAAAATCAAACTAATTGATTCGAATCGTGGTCTGACTTTTACCAGAAAAATTTTGAATTATTTGCTTATTCGTATATATATGCTGAGAATGATTTTAAGTTTAACTTTGTTGTTATAGTCTCATATATAGCATGAATTAATGGATTTTTCTTGTTTTCGATGTAGTACTATCATGGCTGATATAATTAGTTCTAACTATTCGAAGCGATTACTCTTATTTATATTAGATTATAGCGTCGAGATTGTACCTTTATCTTTGCTTCTAAATACACATCCATGCCAAAGCAACCTCTGTAGCTTACTGATTATGAAATTATAGCTAGAATTTAGGCATGCAAGAAGGGACTTTTATCTCGATTCTTAACGCTTTTATTATTAGATTTAAGCCCTTGCTGAGCATCTATGAGTCCCTTGAAATTTTACTTAGTTATGTTTCATCAATGGGGAATTATCTCTCTTGGCTTTGCTACTTTTTTCAGCCATTCACACCAGTTCCAGTTTCTTGTTCCGCACATGCAAATATTGGCGAACTCTCTCGTCTTCTTGGCCTTCTTCCGCCTCCCGCCATTCGATCAGACCATCTTGATCACAAGGCTAATCTGTCTACCGACTCTTCATTGCCGACTTGGTTGGGGGGAGGGAATTCGATGTCCCGTCGTCTTCATTCCACTACAGGGCCTTCTACATTTGGACGCCCAATTTCCCAAATGGCCGTCGGCAATACTTCTAGTGGCACTGGAGGAGGCGGAGGAGAAACAGACATTATTGTGCCAGATAAATGGTCTCAGATAGCATCCAAAGTCTCAATACCGCCAACTGATCAGTTTAACCGGCCTGTCTCATTGGAGCGCGCTATAGAGCCAACTGCATCATCTAGAGGCATTACTCGGAGCGCCTCATCCGTTAACCGCAGAACGCAAATGCAGGTCAGCCTTCAGTTCTTATACAATGAATTTGCCTATCTAAGAAATAACTTGAATAACTCCAAATAGAGTCCATACAAGTTCAACTACTCATTTGTGTGCCTTCTGCCTCAACTATGGAAAGGTTATCCAGGCGGTCATGATGCCTTAGACTTTGATTTCCCGCCTGTCATCTGGACTAAATTTGCTTGTCAATCTCGATAAAATAGTTACCCCTGTCTACCTTTACGCACCTGGTATGAACATGAGTTATCTATCAAAATCTTTACGCACAATCTCAGTCATTTCTCTTAACAGCTTGATCTTTATTTTTCTGAGACCTGAATCGCAGTTTTTGCTTACTTTGTATATCTTAAAGAGCGAAGCTTCCCTTAAGTTTAGAATTATTTTGAATATATTTGATGTATTTTTGAATTATCTAAGTTAATTAACGACATCTTATATTATAGCTCTGATTTATCCGTAAGATTTTTCTCCCTATTATGCCTATAGTTCTAAGATTAGGTAATTGTGATGGAAGTGTTATGTATTTCTTCCTCAGCATGGAATCATCTTCACACATCCCATCCATTATGCTTTCTCACTTTTTTGATGTCTGTATGACCATTTACCAAGCTAGAGCGATCTGTTTTTATATCCTAATCTACCTAGAATGCCCCTCTTGTATTTACAAAAACTGGCAAGCTGGGTCTTCTTCCTAAACGGATTCATATTTGCTGCATTCAAGAATGTATCTTTTTATTTTTATTGACCCTTTCTCAATTCTTCGTTTCTATTCTATTTTCTATTTACGTTTTGACTCGATCTTTTAATTAACTAATTTTTTAATTTTGTTTTACTCGAAGCCAATTTTCTCCCATTTGAGGCTTTTTACCCTCAACATATTGATTCAAATTTAAATAATCCTTCTACTCGTACATTTGTATTTTCATCAGTTATTATATGACTCCAATTTCCCCTAAATTACGCCTATTATTTTCTTATATTTTACTTCCTTACAATTGCAAAATGACCACAATTATGTAAAAAAGTTCATTTTTTGGGAGTACATGATGAAGATATGCTTAGGTCAATTTCACCAGAAGATTTCGGCTGATTCGCATTGTTCTGCAGTCGTTTGGCTTTAATAGGACGTTCAGATTGTTGAAGTCCACGCGACATTCTCCATTGTTTCAGACGAAGATGAGCTGAGATTTCGTTCGTCCTGTGACGAACATCATCAGGGCTGGAACTCATTCTTTTATAAGCCTTAAGTTACCTTTAAGACAAGGAGACTAAGTGACTTTCTTATATATGATATTTATACTCATTGCGACCAAAATTTAAAACGTAGATGGATACAGAAAGGTTTGGTTAATTCGTATATATTTCAGTCTGTGTGTGTGTGTGTGTGTGTTTACGTCTGTAGGCGTAATGAAGACCTAATGATCCAAGAAAAAAAGGATGATCGATATTACGTTAGTCCATGAGTAACCCTGGTTAAATTAAGAGATATAAGTCTGTAATGTGAAGGTCAGGCTATGAAACCACCTGTCCGAACCCGTCTGCCTGGGTCATTAACGTCTGATGATCCAACGAGAAGCTTGGTTTGGATAGCGTAGCCCCGCACGTCTGTTTTGGTTGATTAGCTAGCCATGTCCGTTGAACGAATGAGAACTTGGTTAGAACTATCACTCAGTTGACAAATTGAGTCGTCTTCTTCGAGACGGCAGATCAACAAACTCTCCCAATCTTTCAATCAGTCATAGGTAATTCTTACTCAACCTTCTACCACCATTCCTCACATTAAATTTATTCCTTAATCTTTCAATTTCAATAGCCTCTCTTAACTTGCGTTTCGTAGAACTACCATAATCAGCAAACCTCTGCGTACGAAACTATTCTCTGTCATGTGATCTGCCACGTCTTCCTGTTTTATCCAGCTGCTCTTAGACGCATTTTTGTGCACCGCTAATTTTTGGCGGATCGACCGACTGTTCTCAACAACATAATGTCGAACACAGGAGCACATCT